CCGTGTCTTAAAATGACGACATATCATCTCCTCGGTGAATTCACCGGGCTAAATCGTTGTGCGTTCATGACGGGGACGGTGGAAATTACGGAAATAAGTGCGAGATTGCGGAATCTTCGAGCGGTGGTCACATAGTGTTGACTCATAATTAAATTAACCCGAGCCCCCATTGTGTCGTCACGCGTGGTCGGTCTTTGTAACCCATTCGCTCCGCAACTTCGCCGATTCCGGCCTTCGCGCTCCCTCGGGATTTCTTGTCGTCAAATAAAACAGTGCCGCCCGAAAGCGCTTCCGCAGCGCCTTCCGCTGAATTTAATAAAGAAACTTGCCGGTTGCAAAAGCAAAGTTTTGTCCGTTATTCGTCGGCGACGTGTGTGCAGTGAGGACGCGTGTTGTACCCCCGCCTCATGTACGTGCATAAAATGTTACGTGTACAACCGCGAATTACCGACCAACTCGGCGGAACTTTATCAACGTGGCGAATTTCGGGATCAGCGCGGATCGGCAATCAGGAGTCGCATTTTTACCGGTATCGAAGTGAGCGCGTAGAAAGTTCCGCGATCGAATTCCCGTTCGCGTCGGTTGATTTTGACCCGGCGTTTAAAAGGAAATGTACAGTAAGAAAAAATTTGATAGAAAGCACTAAATGCCGAATCACGCGAATTTTGTTGCACGAACTAGAATTGAGTCAAATTGAGTAAAAATCGAGCCGGATTAACAGTTTCATATAGGAATTCGAACTACAAATTACAGTCAACAATGAAGGTTTAAGAAACAAAGATGTAATTTTATATATAACTCCCCCCACCTCTCTCTACGTGGAGAAAATATCGTGGTAAAAATGACCGCAAAATTTTATAACGTTGTACCGTGTTGGAATTGTGACTGAAATTATTATGTGTTGTAATCTTTAATGATGTGTACAATGAAGTATATCATTAAAGAATACTATATTCGTCATAATTTCAGTTATAATTCTGGGGTACGGTCCAACATTATAAAATTTTATGATAATTTTTATTACAATATTTCCTTCGTATGCTCTATCTCTTGTTGGAAAGTTAAATAAATTAGACGACAAATATGACCGATAATACGTCGGGTCGGCGTTTAAACGCTTCGTTGAATTAAATTTTGAACTCATTTTAACAATAATAATAATAATATTTCTTTATTGAACGCAGAAAATTATAAAATCAAAGAGAGAGAGAGAGAAAGAGAGTGCACAGTATAGCATCAAAAGATAAAACAATAATCATACAGCTGATTTTACTGCCTAACTTAAGTGCGTATGAGTAAATATATAAAGTAGTAAAACAAGGACTTACATAAGCTGCGATCCGATATCCACAGCCAGTGCTGAAAATTCCATAGTTTATGTCACATAAAAGCATCAAATCTTTTTGATTCCACAGCGATGCCATTGAAACTAAAGCCCCAATTATTGAAACAATACATAACACAATAGTTTCAATGACATTCGCCATTGAATGGAGAAGATTTATTTCAATTACGTTACTATTGGAAATTCCACTGATTCAACAGCATTTTTTCCTCCTACAGAAATCTCGGAAATCGAGCTCGTTTCACTCTGATTCGAGTCATCTCGAGTGGTCCCTTTTTATATCGTACAGCCCTTGAGAAACCGATCGCCATCTTATCTCTTTGAAAATTGCCTTGAAAATTGCAATCGCACGTCCGCAAAAAAGAACGTTGTTCTCTCTCTCTCTCGGCGGCTGTCGCGCGCTCGAACCTCGATATTCCCCGCCGTAAACTCGCCTCAACGTGTATAATTGATCGTAGCTCGCGGAAAGTCTTGTTCGCCGTTCGTTTCGTATCCTGCGAGAGACGCGACGACGGCTCTTCCGCGTGAATATTGTCCGACGGGGCTGATTGCGAGGAGAAGAGACGCGCCCTGGGATGACTCCCTCACGAGGAAAACGGATTAAACGGAGTATAACGGTCGGGATGGAGAAGCCGCGAATACGAAAGTCGCGAGGATAAAGTTTCGAGGGCGACCCGAGGGATACCTGACGAATATAACCGTTCGGGCACGCCTTATAAGTGTCGCTTCTCCCCCGGAGAAACAAGAGAGAGAGAGAGAGAGATTCTGCGACGCGCGCGACCCGGGCTGAGATTCAATATTTGCCGCGTCAGCCGCGCGCGTCTCCTCGCGTAATCACGGTCTAATCAAGAGCGGCGAGATTCGATTATATACTCGCCGAGTTCTCGGCAATAGGGCGTAACTAGCGTATGATAGCACGAGGCCCGGCAGCGAAGCGAGCCGGCCCTGTAACAGCGTCGCCGTAGTTGCCGGGACCGGCGACGACGACTGCCAATTATATCCCGGCGCTTTCGATCGCCCGAGACGAATAAACCGTGCGTCTGCGTACAAAGCGTAATAATTCACCGTGGGCGTTAGCTACTTTCCGCGCGGCTCGATTAGTTTAAAGCCGTGAAACGGCAAACGAGTTTGCCGAATCTGACGCGGGGATGCTCGGCTCATCGTGCGCGCGCATGGCCGAGCAAGGTAATTGCAAATTACGTTTTTAATCTTCGTGGATCCCCCCCCCCGTACCACGTTCGCGTAGAACGTGGCGCAACTCGCAGCTACACTCGCCATTTCGCAATTCGTCGCGATTAATCCGTTTGTAAAATGGTATCCCGTGAAATGGTCGGAACGACACCTCGTGTGTGTGTGTGTGTGTGTATGTGTGTGTGTGTGTAACGTGTGTCGCACGCGCGGAAATTATACGATATCATCTTGGGAGAGTGATTTCCTCGTCGCCGATCCGACGCGCGGAAGTTGTCGGGCCAATAAACAATTCTCTGAACTCCCCGAGGTGTCCGCGCGCGCGCGACGGCGACACTCCCCTCCTTCCCGCCCCGCGGAGAAGTTTATTGCCGGTTTATTCGCAGTTGGAAACACTTAACTCGGTTTATCCGAGACGAGTATAAATATTTGCGCGACTCACCGCCCGGCACCCCGCGCCCTCGCCACTGTCCCCCCGCTTTCTCGAATTAATTACGTTCGATAATATTCGCCCGCGGATCGACGATACAAGTGCGATGTGCGCACTGAGAGACCAATTTAGCTGGCTGAAACGAAATGCCTGTTCGAATGCGGGCAAACGGATGTTTCGGTTGCGAGAGCCAAATCTCGGTTCTNAAAATTGAAAAGGATTCGATTCTTCCCCCCCCCCCCAGCTTCGGTACTTTTCTCCCGGCTCTCCATTTCGGGAGGGTATGAAATTCTTCCGCTTGCGAGAAAACGGTGGTAGGTTTGGATTTTTTATCGAACAGTTCCCTCAAACCCTCCCCCTTCGGTTGTGTGTTTTTCCGGAAACGCGAGATAATTATTTATATCGCGATGTTCCGCTCAACAGTTTATTTATCGTCAATGTTACGACGCTCCCCGGTATGCGTTTAATCGAATAAAGTGTGTGGCCAGCCTCTCTCTATCTCTTTTTCTCCTCCTTCTCTTCGCCGGAAGAAATGTATTACCGAGTGCGCGCCAGTCGTGTGCACACTTTCCTTTGTCGGTGTTTCACGCAAAATGCCGAGTTCCGCGGTATCACCGCGACGTTACAACGAAAGCGTCTTCACGCAACAAACAACGACGAAAGGAGATTTCTTGTTCTCCGTGAAACAGCGGGGACGAGAGGGGGGCAAGCGAGAGCGAAGGGTCCGAGATAGACCGAGCGGCGGAGGAATGCGGGAAAACGGGATCGCTTACGCGCGTGGACAGGTTGTGCCGCTAAATGTCAAAGCGCGCAAAGAAGTGGCGCGCGGTCTAACGACTTCACTACCTGTAAACCGCGACAGTCCGCCCTCCCCCAGCCCCCTTCCCCTTTCCTTGTTCGCCACCATCGTTGTTCGTTACGTGCCGCTAATTGCGACTACCAGCTTTCATGTCGCGGCGTTTCTTTCCGCAATTTGTCGCGCAATTTACGCATCCAGCGCGCCGTAAAGTGGGTTGTTCCCTTTATGCCGGTCAAATTTTATTTATCAGTAGCAGCGCGCACTTAATTAAAAGAGCTCCCCCCTCCCTTCGCGTTCGACGTACTTTCTCATCAGCCGCATGCGCGCGTTTTCCGTCGTTCGGCGTCGGTTAGAAATTTACGTTGTCACGCACATGCCGCCACCATCTCGTCCTCCCCCCCCCCCCC